TCAGAATCGAACTCCTGGAGTGAGCAGTGAGTTAGCCTGCAGTACTGCATTGTAACCACTGCGCCACCATGGCTCAGTGATGACCTTAGGTGATGGAAAGTCTGATTTTTTAAAAAATATTTTTTTACTTTGTAATTTTTTATTTCTTATTGTTGTGAGTCACCCAGGACTGTTGTGTTTAATATAGGTAGAAATATAAATATTTTAAATATACATATATTTAATTTTCTAAAGCACATCTCAATATAGGATCATTTCGGTAATAGGGATTCATATCCAAATATATGAATAGTGAATATGTTACCATCTTAAATACAGCGGTAATATTCAATTCCCATCTCACAGATATACTCAAAATAATTGAATACACATTGTTTCTTCTCAATGCGTATTAATAATTGCAACTAGGGGTGGGTATTTTGAGACAGAAGCTCCCTGCTTTGAGTTTGAGAACATTATTTCCTATTTAGTATGGGCTATTTTGATCATTTTGGAAGTGGTTTTAAGCTCAGAACTGAACTGTTATAAGCTTAAAATGCTCTCCTAACGACTGGAGCAGCTAACAAACAGGCCATTTTAAATTCAAAAGTAATTGAATTCAGAATGTTTTATAGACCATTAAACTGCTTCCATTCAATAGGGAAAGATGAAATACTGCGGACTTCAAAGTACAGTTGAAAATACCTCCTCATGATCAATGCCCCATATTATAATGAAAGGAATATTGCAGGGTTTAATCAAAACCCTGTCATAATAAAGGCAGTTTTGAGACCCTGCAAAATTACTGCTTAGCATGGAAATAATAAAAATGGAATCAGAAGACTGAAATTTAATTTGCCCCCCAAATCTACAATATGCTACTAGATGAATGTTTTGCATCCGAATGTTGCTGGTTACAAATTTGCAAATATTTTCTTTTAAATTTTCTAAATAAAAAAAATTACTGCCAAAGTACAAACAGTGTCATAATTGGGGATCAGATATCTATTTGGTTGAGTCTGTTTTGAATTAAAGGATACTCCTTGACTCAGTGTTTCTCAACCTTAGCAACTTGAAGATGTCTGGACTTCAACTCCCAGAATTCCCCAGCCAGCGAATTCTGGGAGTTGAAGTCCGGACATCTTCAAGTTGCCAAGGTTGA